TATTAAATTTTTACACTTTTTGGCCCAACAGATAAAACTTTATTGATATTTATAGAAAAAAAAACTAAAAAAAATTGAAAGCTGTAAATGTCCATAAACAGCTCAAAAAGAGTCAAAATATTTTCAAAATTGTATGGTGTATAGAAAATGCTAATTTAAACATTGAGTGAAATTTTCATGTATCTACAGTTGTTCGTTTTTGAATTGCAACAAACTAAGGAAATCGCTACATGGGAAATCGAGTGAATATTCAATGTTGTAAAAATTTGAATTTCAAACGCTCATAAAAATTTAATTTGACTTTCTTATAGACATTTTTTTTTTTGATAAAGGTAGATAATCTTATAAGGAATCTTGTGTTAAATTTTCAAATCTTAGATTTAAAAAGAAAAATTTTTACGAATTCTTAACTCAAAATAATTTGCTAATTTTCGTGATTTTTCCATATTTTGTCAATTTTTGAACTTTAAATGCTTATAAAAAAAATTGTGACTAAGGATTTTTAATATTTTTCATCTGCCTTTGAAACAACATATTAGGAGCCTTCTATTAAATTTTCAAGCTTTCGCAACCAACAAATAAAATTTTATTGATATTTCTAGAAAAAAAACTAAAAAAAAATGAAAAATGAAAATGTCCCTAAACAGTTCAAAATAAATCAAAATATTTTGAAAATGTTATCGTGTATAGAAAATGCAAATATAAACAACCAGTGAAAATGTCATGTATATACGTTCATTTGTTTTAGAGTTACACCAAAAACCAAAATCGATTTTTTGGAAAACCAATTTTGCGTAAAAATTCCCGTTTTTCCTTAATTTTTATGTTGTTTTTTCCCGGCGCTTGTGAAAACTACTGGGAAATTTATACTTTTGACCCCCCAAAGTACCAACTAGATTCACTTTCCTATCAGAAAAGCTACTGATGAAGAAAATCCAAGCACTTTTACTGTCCTAAAACGTGATGACAGACACAAAAATAAAAAATAAAATAAAAAAAAAATAAAAAAAAAACACACATCATTGTAAAATCAATACATTCATCGTTTCACTCAGAATCTAAAATATAAAAACATACATCATTGTAAAACCAATACATTCATCGCTCCGCTCAGAATCTAAAACAAACGTGTTTTGAAATGTCAATAATATATTCGACCTATTTCGTGCACGAGTTCTTTAATGTTTCAATATTTTGAACTATGTAAACTTTACATCGTTTTTTTTGAATGTATAATTTACATTGTAAAGTATATTATTTAAGGGCTCTACAAAAATACAAATATCATTCAACGAAAAGAAATTGTTCTAGTTGCCTAATTGAATAAAATATTATTATTAGGTGTATGAAAGTAAATTGTTAACTAAATTTTAGATTCTGAGTGAAACGATGAATGTATTGATTTTACAATGATGTGTGTTTTTTTATTTTTTTTTTATTTTTTTTTTATTTTTTTTTTTATTTTTTTTTTTATTTTTGTGTCTGTCATCACGTTTTAGGACAGTAAAAGTGCTTGGATTTTCTTCATCAGTAGCTTTTCTGATAGGAAAGTGAATCTAGTTGGTACTTTGGGGGGTCAAAAGTATAAATTTCCCAGTAGTTTTCACAAGCGCCGGGAAAAAACAACATAAAAATTAAGGAAAAACGGGAATTTTTACGCAAAATTGGTTTTCCAAAAAATCGATTTTGGTTTTTGGTGTAACTCTGAAACAAATGAACGTATATACATGAAATTTTCACTGGTTGTTTATATTTGCATTTTCTATACACGATAACATTTTCAAAATATTTTGATTTATTTTGAACTGTTTAGGGACATTTTCATTTTCCATTTTTTTTTAGTTTTTTTTCTAAAAATATCAATAAAATTTTATTTGTTGGTTGCGAAAGCTTGAAAATTTAATAGAAGGCTCCTAATATATTGCTTCAAAGGCAAATGAAAAATATTAAAAATCCTTAGTCACAATTTTTTTTTATAAGCATTTAAAGTTCAAAAATTGACAAAATATGGGAAAATCACGAAAATTAGCAAATTATTTTGAGTTAAGAATTCGTAAAAATTTTTCTTTTTAAATCTAAGATTTGAAAATTAAACACAAGATTCCTTATAAGTTTGTCTACCTTTATCAAAAGAAAAATGTTTATAAGAAAGTCAAATTAAATTTTTATGAGCGTTTGAAATTCAAATTTTTACAACATTGAATATTCACTCGATTTCCCATGTAGCGATTTCCTTATTTTGTTGTAATTCAAAAACAAATAACTGTAGATACATGAAAATTTCACTGAATGTTTAAATTAGCATTTTCTATACACCATACAATTTTGAAAATATTTTGACTCTTTTTGAGCTGTTTATGGACATTTACAGCTTTCAATTTTTTTTAGTTTTTTTTTCTATAAATATCAATAAAGTTTTATCTGTTGGGCCAAAAAGTGTAAAAATTTAATACAAGGCTCCTGATATATTTTTATAATATCAGTTGAAAAATATTAAAAATACATAGTCACAGTTTTTTTTTATAAGCATTTAAAGATCAAATTTTGACAAAATTTATCAAAATCTCGAAAATTATCAATCATTGTAATTAATAAATTATAAAATGTTCAGTTTTTATAGCTAAGGATTGCAAATTCAACACAAAGGTTCTCGTAAATAGTTCATACTGTAACCAAAAAATCTAAAAAATATATGAACACAGTTATTTTTTACAGACATTTTAAATTCAAATTTGGACGAAATTTCATATTAAAAAACCTAGAATAACTATTTTAGTTATTTTGTTGTGATTGAATAATATTATTCGTGGATACTTGAAACTTCTAAAGTGTACTTTTATATATCTATGATAGTATCACGGTTTTTGTTGATGTATAACGCGTTATAAGTACCTAATGGATATTTTGATATGATTAATTTGGAATTTATTATAGGTACCCATTATAGGTCAATTTTTTGTTTAATACCATAGATATGTATATAATATGTCTTATACATAGACTGACATACCGTCTGCGCTCAGAATCGTTTTTCTTATACAATGATATTATATCGTTGAATTCAAATTTAATATCATCCATTATACAGTGACCCACTTGTAACCTACTGTACAGCAGAGCGACACCCACTTTTTTTTTTTTTAATTTATTTAAAAAAGTATATTTACAATCTATACAACAGACAAGGTATAATGAGTAAGTGTGGTTGCATAAGAACATTAAACATAAAAATAACATTAATAGGAAGGCTCCCAGCAGTGACACCTGACCAGAAATCTTGAATAACTTATAAACTATAACAACGACTAAATTATTTTATATAAATTACAAATTTATCGAACATTATTTAATATTTTCATTTACGATGAGACAGATAAAAAAAATTATATACATTATACAAAAAAATATGTGTACACAGATTTCACTGTAAATTGTGTTGGATAATAATGTCGTCATACATAATCAGTTATGACCTGCATACTCGTTTTTTTTATTTAATTTTAAGAAAAATATATACGCCTTTGCCAAATATTATAATATGTTAAACAGTGTAACACCATAATATAAAACTGTTTTCTTTTTCGTGGCCAAAACGTATACCGCTTAAGTAGGTTATATGGAGTTAGGACTAAAGTAAAATTGCAAGTATATTGTGTTTGTTGTTGGAAACTTAAGAAAAATTGCAAAAAGTTTTCGAACATTAGGTTTTATAAGCGAACGTCAGACGAAATAATAGGGTTTTGTTGATATGGGCACCTGTAGTTTGTTGAATTTGACAATAGAAACCGCGTAGGCATTACTTATCTCGACTCCATTATATTGTATAGAGTGTGAGAACATTAAAATGTATTACTAAAGAAACTTCAGTGAGTTATAAATATTCAAAGAACATAACTCATTGTTATTTAGTGCGTTTATTGAAACATCGACACCTCGATAAAATCAATTTCGACTGTAAATGTTTTTGTCAACCGAGCAATGAACATAGGAAATAATTATTTTTCGTCTCCATTATAATATTACCTATTGAAGTACAACACAGGAATCATTATTTCATAACAATAAAGAAAACCTTTTTACTCGTTGGGAAATGAGAACCCTCTCAGAACGACGTTTGTTATAGATTTTATTTATATATTTTAAACTGTCATAATTGAAATGAAATTTAATGTCTTCCAGCATTATATTATATTTGGTACTCAAGAAAACTAAATGTTGTAAGTGCACATATAATCTTAATTCTAAATAAACGACGTTGTTAAGTGACAATTTAATAATAATCATATTATACGATTTTCGTTTAATTTGAACGTATAATAATTAAAACTTAAGAGTTTGCGACGATGGTCGAAACGGTTTTACTCATTGCTTGCCAGCAACATTGAATGCATAAGTAAAACTACCCTCAATGGCTGCTACCAAACTAATAATATTGTTAGTTGAGGGTGGAATAATAAGTTTTCAAATTTAGTTGGTCAAATACATCCTGCAGTAGAAAACTAATAAGACTTATCGAAAACAAGATTAACGTAGATCGTGCACATTTAGCGGTTGATTACACATATCGGTGAACTGAAAACAAATAACTTTATTATTTAAAGACGAATTTGAGACTTGAAACATTCGTATTAAAATAAACCACCCGAATCAATGAAAATAAATACGATTAAATCGATATTTTTATTTGAAAACAATTAATTAAGGGCCGAAAACCGCATTTTCGATGAAGACTTATTGTCCTAATACAAAAAAAATATTAAAATATTAATATACATTAAGTTATATGAATTAATGTCGACGATGAGATCACTTTCATTATTTGTTTGAAAACATATTATTTAATAAAAATGTCATTGGCTTGTGAATTGTTTTCTTCGAAAGTCAGTAAAACGAAATAGGTAATACAATATTGTGATCCCTGAAAAATTCACCAGAGGACCATGATGTATATTATAATTATTACCGTATAACTACTTAAAATTTGGAATGCAATTTTTTAGTGGCCTGCAGTCACGACAGGGCGTGGGAGTATTTCGCTGAATCCGTCATCAATCCAATTGGATTCCCTTCGTTGCGATGCCTAAACTACGAATCGTTTACCAATGGCACGTGCTTCAGAGACTTCGCGTACTCCAAGGAACATAAAGTCCAGTACATGGGATTGGCAGTCAACAAACAGTACGTCATCACTGTTATCACTGTATATCAAAGATAATTAAAAAAATCGTAATAATTTTTTTTTCCGTTTCCAGGATCAGAGGTCAATTCTACTTGGCTACCAAGCCGGCGGCACCGTTCGCGTACAATAAAATATATAAACCCTAACACCGCGTGTTTGTAGAACTGTTTTTTTTTTTTTTAGTTTAAGGAAAGAAAAAGAAAATTAAACTTGTTTCCTACTTTGCATAAAAATATGTTCTTGGAATCAATTTGATTAAATTATGCGCTACATCAATACATTATACTATAGCTAATATATAGTGCAGTAAACAGTCAACTCGGCAGTATACCTTACCTATATATACGTACTAAGTATAAAATGGTGGAAACTTATAGAAAGTTTTAAAACATCGTATTACGTGCGCGTGCTGTTGTATAAAATTTATTTAAAATTTTGTCTAGACAGACGGGGTTCCTATTATCGATACGAACGCCATGTACTCTCAAAGTTTTATCAAATTTATACGAGCGTTTATTCGACTTCTTATAATTTTTTAATAAATAAGGCGTACCTACCTATTATCTGAAAATTTCGTGTAACGGTTATTTTTAGGTAGGTACGTCGGAGAGATATTCGTTTTTTTGGTTTCAGAACGTTATCCATTTAGAACTATTACATACAATCAAAATTAAATATAACGAATGTCGCAGTTCTTCGTTCGCAGGTAAGCATTATGTAGTAAGTCGAAACGAAGTATATGTAATCACACATAATCGCTTCCATACTAAGTGAACTATTAATAGCATTAGGTACGTGTTTTATTAAGAGGATGTCAGCACTATTAATAGCATTACGTCGTAAGTGTTAGATGTCAGCTCACTGTTTGTTTTCTCTCTGACCCACTCGCAACATGGAAAATGTGCTTTCAGCAGAACCGCAATCTTGTAACCTAACTTGAATTTTCGAACATTAACACTATGAGGAAGTTCTATAGCGGCAAACGTTGCAAACGTTTGATAACGGAGAAATTTGGAACATTTGTTTGCTAAACGAAGCTATGTAAACGTTTGCAAACATTGCAATCGCCATGATCCAGAGTTAGGTCTGTTTAGTTCCAGTAACCAGAACCGTGGTAGTACTTTGCTTATACTTTTGCCGATCGTTGTCACTATTCATTGTGTTACTATCACGACTTATCACGGTTTACTTTTTATGTCATACACCACGACCACGGTTAAACAAAATACCGCACTAAACCAAGCGCTCCCGAATTTCTAACTTTTCAACGTTTCAAACGTTGTCGTTTGTTCTGCAAAACGTTTTCCGCTATAGAATTTTCTCTATGTTCTTAGGTTGGCTTTTTTACAGTATTTAAATATTTTAAAACATGATAATATGAGCATTTTTTTAAAATCGTAACATAATATATTCTTACATACTCGTAGCCCCCGTTTAAAATTTACATATCGTAAAAGTTACAACTTCAAAAACTCAGAACACAGATATTAATATTAAAATGTTATTAACTTTACATTCGATGAAAGGTCAATTCGCTATGGCATTAATGCTAAGAAAACAAATTTGCCATGTCACGCTTTGCAGGCGAGAGGAAGAAGACAAATTGTAACATCTTTTTAAATACAAATTACATTTCCCGAAACAAAGGTGAATATAGATATTATAATATTATATGAATACCTTTGATCGCTCGTATACAATATCGGTAGGTAATATCGTAAATATTAAGAGGACGTCAGAGCACACTTTGTTTTCTCTCTCTGGCCCACCCACAACATAGACAAAACGCATTAATGCAGAATCATTTCTTCTATGTTTTTAAGTAATCTCAAAGTAAAATCACCCATGACAAATAAAAGATTGAGAATAATATTTGTGAGGGAATGGAATATCGATTTTATATTTTATTATTAATTTACTTTGTATTTGACTTTCAAAATAAACGAAAATATATTGTAAAATTAAATTACGTTTAAATTGTTTTGAGACAATATTTAGACAAATCGATATGCGATTGCCACAAAAATATTATTCTCTGTCTTTTTCGTAAAAGGTGAATTTACTCTAAGATTACATAAAAAACATAGAAACAACGATTATGCGTAAATGCCTTTTGTCTCGGCCATGTGGGCCAGAGACAGAGAAACCAAATTGTAGTGCGCTGACATCCTCTTAACGCTGTCTCATAGGATATTATTATATTATATTGTAGAACATATTATTTCTACGTATAGTATTCGACGTTCGGAGAAGACACGGCACCGAGACTTGTACATCTCACGTAGACGCATTTTCACCCGAAATTCCGGAAACAGTTGTATATAGGAATGCGTATATTGCACACACGCTTATCGGGTCGTATCGGAAGAGAGCGACGCCGTTTGAACGATCCTTTTCGCGTATTTCTGTCGGCAAGCGTATTCGTGTGGTTCGGTACACGACGAATAAATCCGATAAAGACAGCCCGAGGAATGCTCGCGTGTCTGTTTTCGAAGGGTCGTCCGCACTTCGCCGAAGCAATTCGCTTCCCCCCCCCCGCACACGCAACTTTTATACGTCTCGCCGCTTTCGGAAAAACGACGGTTTTTGATGGGGTTTCTGTATAATACATAATATATATAATATACTATTATAACGTTTCAGTTCGGCGACGCGTGCGTACCCTATAATATAATATAATATGATGTATATACAGGGTGTATCTTATGTCGTTGTACGCGGGGTTTTTTGACGATTACTGAAAGATGATATGGAATTCGTTAAAACGAAAAAAGACGTGTTTCTTTATTTTTAACAAGCAATTTTATTATAACAATTTCAAAATTTTTAAACACGCAGGTGTACCAATAGCAAAATCAACTTTTTTTTTCAAATGGTAACCACTATATTTTTTAATGGATTCTGATAAAGCTTTTTTTTCTGAACATTTTGGTAGTCGAACCGTCAATTTTGGTTGGCTAGTTTATTAACTATGGCCCTCCAAAGATTAGTAAAATATGCATTAATACTTTTAATTAAAATAATGGGTATAGGTTAAATTTACAAGCGCTAAACAATTTTTTCTTATAACTACCATTTGATACACTACAATTGTTGAATCGGTAATCTAATGACACCCTCAAAAAAAAAAAAAAATAACAAACATAATTGTTTGTAAACATACTTGATTATTTTTATTTTAACATACGATCATAAAAATCAATATTATTATTTTAATATCCAAAACTAAAAAGGATGGAAAGGGATGAATTACAACTCCTAAGTTCATACTTTGGATGCGATACCATTTTAGGGAATCTATGGTTAAAACATCACGTTTATACTTTATACCACTACGAAAAGAGCACCACAAACATTGCACTTTTTTCGTTGCACATATTAATGTCAACAATCGAATACCATTTACCAATTTACCATTATTACCTTAGCTACCTACCTAATTAAGAATTCAAATTTATGATATTGTAAGAAAAGTAACTGTGATGAAAAAAATGTAAAGTAATTAATTACGATTATAATAATAAATTAAAATAATAATATTGATTTTTATGATCGTATATTAAAATAAAAATAATGAAGTATGTTTACAAACAATAAAATTATGTTTGTAATTTTTTTTTTTTTTTTGAGGGTGTCATTAGATTACCGATTCAACAATTGTAGTGTATCAAATGATAGTTATAAGAAAAAATTGTTTAGAGCTTGTAAATTTAACCTATACCCATTATTTTAATTAAAAGTATTAATGCATATTTTACTAATCTTTGGAGGGCCATAGTTAATAAACTAGCCAACCAAAATTGACGGTTCGACTACCAAAATGTTCAGAAAAAAAAGCTTTATCAGAATCCATTAAAAAATATAGTGGTTACCATTTGAAAAAAAAAAGTTGATTTTGCTATTGGTACACCTGCGTGTTTAAAAATTTTGAAATTGTTATAATAAAATTGCTTGTTAAAAATAAAGAAACACGTCTTTTTTCGTTTTAACGAAATTCCATATCATCGTTCAGTAATCGTCAAAAAACCCCGCGTACAATGACATAAGATACACCCTGTATATATCTAGCGTAGGAGAGAAAAAATAAAAACTACTGTTTTCCGACGTCATCGTATGGACGTGAGTGCCAGCAGGTGTTTTCGGTTCGTCGGCGACAGAGACCACGCGCGATACCAGCTGGTATAAAACGATACTGTACCGCGGTTACGTGTCTTTGGGGGTCCGATCCCCGCCACCCCATCTCCGGTTAAATTATTTCACGACTCGCTAGCGCTTAGGTTTTACGCCCTGCACCATCGCTGCCGTTTTATATATTTACCATATATACCTAGGTATATATATATACATTTTTTTTTTTGTTACGAATAAATTTCTATCGTTCGTAAAAGGTTAGGTTATGGTATCTCCGCTCCCACCCTCACCTCGATACGTACCGATAAGTTTATGCGTAGCTACATATAGGTATATGTCGTGCCAAGAGAATAACTAGGAACAGAAAAAAAACAGGACTATCGTGTTTAAATATGACTCTGCTGTAAGAAGATCGTCAGTCTATCGGGTCCCTAGAGTTGGCTTATCGTGGGATTTGTCTAGTAGATATACTTTCGTCTATATCTACTTTGGGGTATATTATAATGTCCATTCCAGTGTTACATTTGAAAGTTTACTCATCGACTCGTATTGGCGTATCGGACTCTACTGTTTTATTATATTACGTCATCTGCAGGAACTGTCAACACAACGGGGTGTCCTTAATATGATGTTATTGACGTCTCGACTGATTTAACTCCTTATCTCGCCTGGAGTGGTCTAGGAAAAAGGATTTCCAACAGGGTTGAGAGCAGAGAGAATACTTCACGACTCGTAGCCCGTAGAGGTCGACCACGGATTTTGGTGGCAACGTAAAACTATGAAACCACAACGACAGATAATACTACAATCTTGCCGATCGAGGTCTTAGAATTCACCTCTAATTGACAGACAAATTATTTTTCGAAATATTTTTAACCACATTCATCACATGATGCTATTAGCGAGCCTCGGGGCGTCTCAATAAGGATTTAGACCCGACACCAGGGTAGGTACCAACGCCCCCCGGTGCTGGTCGCTGTCACTGGTTGTAGATACCTAGCTACGTTATAAATTA